TGAGGCAGCACTCACTTCAACCTGTTAGCAGGATCTGGGCAACAAGAAACATCGTTATAAAGAATGGATCACTATCGAAACCCTAAACAAGATTGAAAAAGAGAAGAACAAGAAGACAGCAATTAACAACAACCGAACAACAACAGAGAAAGTCGAGACCCGCTTCAAACACACAAAAGCTAACATAAACGTCAGGAACATCAGAGCCGACAAGCAGAAATATGTGAAAAACGTAGCAACGACAATGGAAAAAACTGTAGGAGAAAGAAATATGAAACAATATATGACACGACGAAGAAACCGACAACGAAATATAGTAAACCAGAGAGACTAGTCAAGGACAAGAAAGCCAATCACTGAAATTCGGAAACAGAGGGACATATAGGTGAGACACTTCGATGAACTCTGGAATAGACCAATTCCACTAAATCCACCAGATATCAGACCAGCACCTGCAGACCTTCCTGTATATATGTGTATAATATGTATAATATAATATATGAAGTCTGCTTATGTTCGTATCTATAATTATTACTGTTATTATTGTCATTATTGGTCCCCCAACATATTAGATATTCTTTTTATCTCTTCTTATCCTTCTAAACATATTTAATCCCTGATTGTCCTTTGAAATTAATTGTGACTTTCATAGCATCATTCTTAATTATTATTGCACAAATGTTTATAATAATATCCGGTTTCACTCTGTATATTATTACATAAATCTACATGTGCAGTAAAGGATTTATTTTATTTTTCTAAATTGTTGGTTTACTTCAGAGGTCGATATTCATTACACAATTATTATTATTATTATTATTAATATTATTATTATCATGGTTGAACCCTTTCATTTGGTGTTCATTTCTTTTCTCTCTCTTTTTTCCATCTAAATAAATATTATTCCTAACTTTACAAAGTTTTTGACAGACAGCAATTTGTGTTACACTTAAATTAACTTCTCAGACTCGTTTTATCTTCACTATGCATATATCACTCATACATATTGATATTTCATTAACCGTTTCACTTAATTGAGACTTTCGTAGCGTCACTCCAAACTGTGACTGCACAAACATTTGTTCTAGCGTCATATCTTACTGAAATAATGAGTTATTTTTTCTTAATTATTTTCTATTTTATTTTATTTTTTGAACTAATTTCACGATACATACATGGTCGTTTATTCTTGTTCTGGGTTCATAAACACGCCTATTAAACTGTTCGCTTATTTCACGTCTCCTTTATTTCCATTTCCTTATTTACTTCCTTTCCTTCTTTGAACTTAATTCAATGTTCTTCTCAATTACACATAACCTGATTTATTATTATTCTATTATTATTATTCTCTTTTTCAAATATGGCAAATATAATGCTAACATTATTGAAACTTATGCATTATTGCATTTGTGAAGAAACATTTTGGGTTTCTTCACCAAACTTATGTACCCATAAGATGTTTGTGAATAACAATAATATAGCCGTCACTCCACCAACGATCGAAGAAACCAGCATGGCCACCAGACAGATCAAGAGTGTGAAAGCAGTAGGACCTGAAAACATACCAGTTGAAACACTGAAGTCAGACACAACAGTAACTGTAAAGAGCCTACACGTTCTGTTAAGAAGGATTTGGGACGAAGAACACGTGCTGGAAAGAAGGATAGTTGATGAAGATGCGAAAGAAATGAAATGTGAGCAAGGGAGCCGCTGGGACTAGGGGCCTGTGGCGCAATGGATAACGCGCCTGACTACGGATAAGGAGTATCCATATTTGTTATCAAAAATATTATTTCTAATAAACTGCGACTAACAATAGATACGATAGATTTGAAATTGTCTCTAACCCATGCCCGTTATGTAACGTTTCCCGAAGTGAAAATATGAAATCTGAAACACAAATCATGAACTGTGGTTCGGTTGTTCTTTTTCGCTATAATCATCCACTAATACTCGTAATCAATGGTTGATGAAGTTACTTTTGACTGTGCTGAGTAAAATTATTGCGGGGAGCTAAACATCGTAAAACATCTAACAATGACAATTAATAATAGGTTCAGATAAAACGGAAGCTGAAGTAATGGATAACTGGAGAAACGACAATACAAAGATTCAATACAGCCTTCCTTCGACATACTGAAAAATTCAACGAATTCAAGATAACTCTAAACAACAAGTTCCAAGCCTTATGAGATTTACTCAAAGAAGAAACTACTATGTAGGACAACTGAAAAGGTATTGAGGCAGCACTCACTTCAACCTGTTAGCAGGATCTGGGCAACAAGAAACATCGTTATAAAGAATGGATCACTATCGAAACCCTAAACAAGATTGAAAAAGAGAAGAACAAGAAGACAGCAATTAACAACAACCGAACAACAACAGAGAAAGTCGAGACCCGCTTCAAACACACAAAAGCTAACATAAACGTCAGGAACATCAGGGCCGACAAGCAGAAATATGTGAAAAACGTAGCAACGACAATGGAAAAAACTGTAGGAGAAAGAAATATGAAACAATATATGACACGACGAAGAAACCGACAACGAAATATAGTAAACCAGAGAGACTAGTCAAGGACAAGAAAGCCAATCACTGAAATTCGGAAACAGAGGGACATATAGGTGAGACACTTCGATGAACTCTGGAATAGACCAATTCCACTAAATCCACCAGATATCAGACCAGCACCTGCAGACCTTCCTGTATATATGTGTATAATATGTATAATATAATATATGAAGTCTGCTTATGTTCGTATCTATAATTATTACTGTTATTATTGTCATTATTGGTCCCCCAACATATTAGATATTCTTTTTATCTCTTCTTATCCTTCTAAACATATTTAATCCCTGATTGTCCTTTGAAATTAATTGTGACTTTCATAGCATCATTCTTAATTATTATTGCACAAATGTTTATAATAATATCCGGTTTCACTCTGTATATTATTACATAAATCTACATGTGCAGTAAAGGATTTATTTTATTTTTCTAAATTGTTGGTTTACTTCAGAGGTCGATATTCATTACACAATTATTATTATTATTATTATTAATATTATTATTATCATGGTTGAACCCTTTCATTTGGTGTTCATTTCTTTTCTCTCTCTTTTTTCCATCTAAATAAATATTATTCCTAACTTTACAAAGTTTTTGACAGACAGCAATTTGTGTTACACTTAAATTAACTTCTCAGACTCGTTTTATCTTCACTATGCATATATCACTCATACATATTGATATTTCATTAACCGTTTCACTTAATTGAGACTTTCGTAGCGTCACTCCAAACTGTGACTGCACAAACATTTGTTCTAGCGTCATATCTTACTGAAATAATGAGTTATTTTTTCTTAATTATTTTCTATTTTATTTTATTTTTTGAACTAATTTCACGATACATACATGGTCGTTTATTCTTGTTCTGGGTTCATAAACACGCCTATTAAACTGTTCGCTTATTTCACGTCTCCTTTATTTCCATTTCCTTATTTACTTCCTTTCCTTCTTTGAACTTAATTCAATGTTCTTCTCAATTACACATAACCTGATTTATTATTATTCTCTTTTTCAAATATGGCAAATATAATGCTAACATTATTGAAACTTATGCATTATTGCATTTGTGAAGAAACATTTTGGGTTTCTTCACCAAACTTATGTACCCATAAGATGTTTGTGAATAACAATAATATAGCCGTCACTCCACCAACGATCGAAGAAACCAGCATGGCCACCAGACAGATCAAGAGTGTGAAAGCAGTAGGACCTGAAAACATACCAGTTGAAACACTGAAGTCAGACACAACAGTAACTGTAAAGAGCCTACACGTTCTGTTAAGAAGGATTTGGGACGAAGAACACGTGCTGGAAAGAAGGATAGTTGATGAAGATGCGAAAGAAATGAAATGTGAGCAAGGGAGCCGCTGGGACTAGGGGCCTGTGGCGCAATGGATAACGCGCCTGACTACGGATAAGGAGATTCCAGGAAGATTTGGAATATTCCACGTGCCTGTGCAGCATCATCAATAAACAGAGAGGATCTGATACATACATTAAGGCAAGGTTGAGCAAAGCAAGGACAACATTTCTACGGTTGAAGAACATATGGAACTCAAAACGACTGTCAGCCAATATCAACGTGAGAATCTTCAATACGAACGTCAAGATAGTTTTACTGGATGGAGCTGAAAACCAGAGAACTATCAAAACCATAACCAAAAATGTAAGTGTCAATAAACTATTTTCTACGAAACATAGTCAATATACTTTATCTGCATACCATCAGCAACAGACTACCCCGAGTTCGGACAAAGCAGATTACAAATGAGGAGTATATCAGGTAAATACATTACAAGTGGTTTGGACATATACTGCTGAAATCTCCCAAGTGCATCACGAGGCAAACGCCAATTTGGTATCCTGAATGGAACCGGAAGAGAGGAAGGTCGAGGAACACATTACATCAAGAATCGGAACCACATATGGAAAGGTCGAATAACAACTGGAAAGAACAGGAGAGGATTGTTTGTATAAGGATTTGATAGCGAGTGCTGGCGGAAAGCCCATACTCTTTCACGATGAGTATCGGGCATTGATTAGTAATTCCAGCCGCAGAAGGTGTATATGGATCCATATTGAGTTTGCAATCAGAACACGCTGCTGGTAATCCACGCAACAAATGGTAGCCTGACTTTTCTCCAGACAGTGATTTATATTGCTGCACAGAAATGTCTTTTTCATGTATACGTTTCGGGAATGAAGTTCATTGGGTCGAAAATTTCGTTAGGCGAAAATGCGTGACATTTAGGCTGGAAGGAGAGAAACGTTTTACTAGTCAAATAAGACTTTCTGTCGTAATTACATACTGCAATATAGTTTGCTGACTTGATAATGTGAAGTTTATTTGCATTTGAATAATATGTGCACAGTAGAGACTGTGGAAATAGTTTAAGTAGTAAGTGAAAAATTAAGTGAACAAGAAGAAATAATAATAATAATAATAATATATTTCTGCATGTGCAGGTACACACCGTTTTTACAGGCATGATCTATAAATTACAACATTTGTTGGTTCGCAAAATGCTTCCCAACTTATTAAGTTTATAGTTGTTATAAAGTGAAATCGCAGAGCGCTTGCTGTAAACTATGACCTTGAGAGGACGCGTACGTTAAGTTTGCTCCAAACGTCAGAAGTTTCATAGCTGTGCTCTCAGAGCAAGATTCTGAAGGAGAAAAAAAAGAAACAGAGGAGCAGCAAGGCACTTGGATATGAACGCCAAAGGTTGCTTAACATTGTGTAGTAGAACGGACAGAGGTATAATAAATTAGAATAAATTCATATTATGTCTTGTTAGAGTGAAGTGAAGTCAGAGGCTCCATATTAGAGAATGTACTAATAAAGAACAGTGAGTTGTGATGTTTAACAAGTTGGAATAAGCTCACATAAAGGAAGGGAGGTCAAGGTTGGTACAAGGGAAGCGGTTTATTAGAGAGTGTGTATATAGAGGGTGAAGTGTTAAGAATACTAGTGACTATATCTTTTATTGTCTTTTTTCTTTTCTTTTTTTGTCCATCCGATGTCAGCCACGCAATCCTAGTGTAAAAGTCCGAGTTAGCATGTTATAGGTTGTCTTAGTAGAATAGCTAATCCAGCATATTATTGGAAACATGAGTCTGAGTGGTGAGCGTAGGAAGACAATCTATATCTTAGATTGACTGTCTTATTCTCAATTATAAAGAGCCTGATACATACAAAATGTTCTGTCCCCACAAACACGGGTGGATTGAAGTTATCGCCCTCACCATCAATGCTTGCTGGTCAGTAACTCCACCCTCCCTCCTTTTGTGATGTTAGGCTCATTTAAGCTTATTTTTGTATATACGTCATACCTCACACAATCCTCTGTTTCACAACTTGTTGGAAAGCACTATTTCTATAAGTACCATTTTACAAGCTTATCAGGCAGTTACAAGCTGTGGACTGTGGGTAAAGCATCGATGCAGTGCCTCTGTTGACTATAGTATAAAGTATAGTTTGCCAAACAGAGTATAAGCGTTAAGAAGGGTATATTGTAGGATAGTTGTTTATTTAAGCAGGCGGAAAAAGTATAGAAGTATGAGTTGTGGATAAGGGAACGAGTGGAGAAATAATATTAATTGCTAGTCAACATAGTGTACAGAAGAGTAAAAAGTTAATATAGGATAAACAGGAAGGAACTCACAGTAACTTGGTGCTGATGTTATTTTCTGTTGTCTTAACCAGTTGATTGGTAACAGGTTCCATAGATGCAAGACCACTGGTAGTAGGCAGCCGATTGTGGGGTCCTCTTGACTTTTTAGGGTGGTAGTGAGTGTCCCTTATCGACCGAGTTTAGTTTAACAGTAATGATAGGTCCAGTGAGTTACCTGTCTACTTCAAGTGAAGAAATGGGGTGGAAAAAGTAATTAATACAACTGCAAAGTAGGAAAAATAAGGTAAACTGAACTTGAAGTCCATTTTGGTCTAGACATGGAGAGAGCCTATGATGTCTGAGTGGGGTGCAGATGTGTTCGTACGTGCAAGATCAGTGCGAGTGAGGGTTTGATCAAGCAGTTTCACAAACGTATGTAGTTCATCTGCCATGCGAGTCTCGGAAGGAAGACTGTTCCATATTATTGCATACTTGGTGAGGAAGAAGTTTTCCCGAGTTTTTGATCTGTATTTCTCAACTTTGACCGTAGATACTTTGTTTCGAAGTTCGTATTCATGTGAATCTCGGGCAAGAATTATCTGACATGTTGAGTAAGTAAGGTTTTTGAGTAGTTTGAAGTAGAGAATCAAATTAGACCTAAGCCTTCTCTCCCAAAGGGGTGCTATTCCTAAGATTTGGCATCGGGAACTGTAGTCAATGACCGAGTCAGTCTTAAGTACTTTGCGGGTGAAGTCTCGTTGTATTCCTTCCACCTTTAGTATATTAGATAGGCGTAGGTTGGAAAATAAGAACGAGCAGTATTCAACGATAGGTCTTACACAAACTTTGTAAAGAAGGATTTTAGATTCATTTTGATAGAAATTACGAAGAATGAAGCCAAGCAATTTCCGCATTTTGGATGCTTTGGCTGAGATGTGTTCAGAGAAATTAAGACTGTGTGAATAATGTACCCCTAGGTCAGTTACTGATGCCAGTCTGGGGAGTGTGTGATCGCTAATTGTTAGTTTCATTTTAAGAGACGTGTCTCCTATACATAACCAGCCGCATTTCTCTATGTTGAGCTCTAACCTCCAGCGTTTGCACCAGTCATCTACCATGTTGAGTTCATGTTGGATTGTTTGCATAGTACTGCGTAAATCGCAAATGTCAGTTTTATAGATGACTTTTAAGTCATCGGCATAGAGGTAGGTCTTACCTGTGCTGAAACACCTGCATATATTGTTGATGTAGATTATAAAGAGCAATGGACCCAAGACACTACCCTGCACAACACCACTGGTTATCGGTCGAGGTGTAGATGTATTAGAGTTAATCTTGGTTATTTGATATCTGTTCGTAAGAAAAGACTTGATCCATTGCAAAAGGGGATTTATAATTCCAACTGACTTCAGTCTGTTGATTAGAAGATTATGAGGTACTTTATCAAAGGCTTTCTTAATATCGAAGTATAGTATAATAACTAGTTTCTTCTGGTCACGCATACGAGTAACCTCGTTAAAGAAGTCTATCAGGCATGTACTGCACGACCTTGTTCTAATGAAGCCGTGTTGTGACGGGTCTATTAGATCTTCCTTGAGTAGGTGATCAGATAGTTGATTTTGTATCACTTTTTCCATTATGCGTGATATGACTGGAGTGATATTTATAGGTCTGTAGTTTTCTACCAGGTTTCTCGGTCCGGATTTGTGTTTGGGTAGAACATACGTTACCTTCCAGGTTTCCGGATATGTACCTGTCTCTAAAGATAATGTGTATATTTTGAGTAGTAGCGTCTGTATGTCCGGCCCTGACATTTTATAAACGATTGAAGGGATGTCATCGGCACCAGAACTCGCATTTGGTTTAAGGGTTTTAATGGCGGTATGTATACTCATAATGTCGAAGTTTATGGTACTAAGATAGTTTTTGCCGGTGCACTTTATGTCGATATCTGGGGCATCAGATGTATTCCCATTGTGAGAAAACCATTCACTTAATAGTTCACATATGACGGTTTGGTCATTATACGTTACTCCATCGTGCAGTAAGGAGTGAATGTTGTTGTCTGTGTTCTTTCTTATGCGTTTCGTGAGGAGACGACATAGGGCTTGGGCTTTAGATGCAGCAGCGAGCGCAGTACGTTCCTCTACCTGTTTATGCTTGTTGTGTTGACTTTGTACTCCGTCAAGTACGGAGTATATCTGGTGCAGGGCACTGAAGTCTTTTGATATATAGTACATCCTTTTCAGTTTTCTCAGTTTAGACCTAGTCTTTTGGTTTATATAGGGAGTAACTGTTTTAAAACCAATTTTAGAGGGTATAGTAGTGTCTAGTGCAGATTTGGTGGTGATATTGAATATTTCTAATGTTTCTAAGAGGTTATTACTGGTAAAGAAACTGCCCCAGTCAGAGTGCTTTATTAGAAATCGAAAGTTTTCCCAGTCAGCGTTTGCATAGTCTCTATATTGGAATCGCGTTTTTAATGTCTTTAATTTGTTGCATATGGCAAGAATCGGAAGGGTGCAGAGGACTATTTTATGATCGCTGTTGTGAAACTTTTCGCTAACCACCATTGATGTTGGTGTGACACTATGACAGAATATCAAGTCAAGAATGTTGTGATTTCGTGTAGGCAGGTGTACATGTTGTTGCCAGCCGTGTATGTCTAAGGACCTAAGTATGCTTTCAAAGCACAATGGGCCAGAATGTGTCTTCCAGTTGATGGTGGGAAGGTTGAAATCACCACATACAATTTTGTATGTGAAGTCAAGCGAGGCAGCCTGAGCAAATGACTCACTTACAATAGTGTCAGTTGAACTAGGAGTGTTAGGAGCTCGATATATGCATCCGATTAGTATTTTACATTCATGAGTGTGCACAGTAAGCCATATCGATTCAGGAAGTTTGCTGAGGACGTGGTCGCTATAGGTTTCCGCTCTCAAATTTTTTGATACATAAACGAGACAACCACCACCCCTCTTGGTGACTCGATCACAGCGGAAGAGCTCATAGGTGTCTATTTGTAGAAATGTGTCTGTGGTATCGGAGGACAGCCAACTTTCCGTTATCAAAACAAGTGAGGGGTTGTTTAAAAGCAATAGGGTGCGTAGGTAAGTCATCTTACTTTGTACAGATCGAGCGTTGATTAACATAAGTGTCAGGTACGGTGACTGTTTGTCTAGTAGAAGGGTATGATGTAAACCGAGTGGTTTGTCTGTTTTGCCCTGAGAAAAGGAAGAATTGGGAGCGTTGACTCCATATTGATGAGTGTTTAGTTTATTACCATTAGGGTTAATGCAAGAAGGGTAGTCGGGTGTGGTTTTGGTGAAAGAAGTATGTCTAAGAGTGGAAGGTAGAGTCGAATGATCAGGTAATGTGTCCGGGGAATGATCAGGGGGTTCAGTCAAGGAGTTTTCAAGACTAGAGACAGTTATCGAAGTTGAGTAGGATGTGCTACTCCCCATTAAATCGGAGTATATAGATGGTTTCAGAATAGTGGGATTGTCGCCCTCAACATTTGGAGACCCCATAGCAGTAATGTTGAGGGGGAGAGAGATAAAAAAGGATGAGATAGTGTGCATGTCGAATTAGGGGGGACCAAACCGTTGTATTGGGTGGCTTGACTTGGATAGTACCTAGAATCTGTAGGTGGGTTCCCAAGTAGGCCAGCGTTATGGCTTCCTCGTGTGCGGTGGGCAATTTTAGTCCTATTGTGGTTAGTTGGGGAGGTTGTATGTTTCTGGTAAGGGATGAAGGAATGCCTGTTATTGTTGCCAGGAGAGGTGTTTCTGTTGTGTATAGTTTTGTGTTGGTTCATGGGGCTTACAAGGTTGACACCATATGACTTATGGGTATCACGTGTGGGTGTGGTTCTTGTCGAGTGTCGTTTCACATTAGGATGAGTGGGTGTTGCCAGTTCACTATGTTTGTTGTAGGGCATTCTATTACTATGAGATGGTGCATGTTTTGGGTTAGGGGTGCTGGAGTATTGGTGGGTTTTTACGGAGAGTTTGGTATTTTTTCGCACAGCGGTGTCTGCGGGTCTGTAGCTGTTAGCGCGATCCCTGGGAGGATCATTTTTAGGCATTTTATAAGGGCCGCTAGGGTAATACTTGGACGCTATTGAGGCATAAGTGGTTTGGCATTTTGGGGTAGCTGAGTGTCTGGGCTGAGGGTGAGTGGTTGTAGCTGCTTTATGTGCGGTCTTGTCCTTAGGACTAATAGCAGTGTCCGACGTGCCTCCGTTTTTTGGGGGGGCAGTGTATGATATTTTAGGATTTGTGCAGTGACAAGAGCTGTAGCTGCCACGGCTACGTAAGCTGGGTTGATCAGTTTGTGTTCCATTGCAGATTCGACGCTGGATAGCGGTCCTGTCATGAATGATCCTAATATTTTTAAATGTTGGAATACGCCTCAGTAGTGACTGACTATTGAGGAGGTGATTAGCTTCAGTGGTGCTACCAAACTGAAATAGAATGGGACAGGAGGTTTTAGTGTGTGCCTTACGTAATCTTCTTGTTACACACCAAGATTGCGACAATCCATATTCTTTTAGCAGAGTATTTTTAGCAATCTTTATGTTCGTACTATCAGGTATATTATACACAATAACATTCTGCATACACTGAAGTCTTTTCAACACTTCAGATATATGGTCAATTACTTTTTCACTGTTTTTTATAATTTCCAGATCGGGATTTTCTGGAACACTGATTAAATATATGTAAGGTAATAGGTCTTGAATAGTTTGGGTGAGGCTAAGTTCTGTTTGGCTGCTTTTAGGTCTACCAGTGGTGAGATTATCGGAGTTTATATCAAAGTTTCTAAAGTCGATATGGTTACATACAGGCCTGTTGCAGGTGTCTAGCGGATGTTCACTTTGTGCACACTTAGTTGGGGGATGGGGTATATGTCTGGGTGAGTAGTCAAGATCTACATCACCGGGCTGGCTATTGTAAGCAGGCTTACATGTACTCCGTGGGCCGCTACTCAGGATGGCCGATTGTGAGATTGCTGGGTGTTTGGGGTCAACAGCACTGTCTAAATACTGCTCACAACAGGTGGTGTTTTTGTTTGGACTGACAAATGATGTCGACTCTAACGGTATGTGACTGCTCTTATTTATATCGACAAGCGAGATGCAAGGTAGTGATATGTCTTGTCCAAGTAAACGGTGCACGTTTAGTGTGGCTGAGGGAAGATCAGAGTAGGATGCAGATTGATCAGTGTGTTTATAAGGTTTCACATTATTCGCTTTAGTGACTGATTTAGATCTTTTGCAGGTGCTATAGGCATCAGGAGAGATTATATGTTTTTTAGATGGCCTGGACATTATCGGAAGTAATGTAAATACAAAGTTTAATTAGGTGGACGGCGATAGTTGTAATTTAACTTAGTGAACGTGTGAAGTTTTATGGTAGGATCAGACCCAGTATTAGTTAAGAGTAAATATATTAACGTTAATTGGTGATAGAGATAGCGTGAGAATTAGCAAGATTAATTTATGACGTTGAGTTCCTAAATAAGGTGTCAAATTGATAGAACCCTATCAGTGACGAATTATTTATCGCTATTAAGTGTTAAATTAAAGAGAAAAACTAATAGGAAAATAAAATAATACCACGTGAAAAAAAGTTACAACCTTCAAAAGCGCGCCTGAGGTTTTTTTTATTTTGAAATTTTACCTTACCAGGGCTGCTATGAATGCAAGTTGTTTGCTCTCCGATGTACTTCGAATAACATTTTGGTAAATGTGAAGGCTTACTACATTCATAACCTAACGTTCTGCAGTGCAAAACTGACGTTTCGATGAGACCATCATTTATGGAAGGTCTCTCAGAGACACCAAAGAGATCATGATAAAATTTACTTACCTACCAGGTTTAAAAGAAGGTTATAAATCGGTGCGAGGGATAAGGTAAGGAATTATGGTTGGTGTTTTCATAATGAACTGACGTCATCTAGAGTGACAAGATGCTATTTAGCCATACACATGGATCGATTTCTCGTCAAGATCAGAAACTTTCTGTGCTCAGTCTAACTGATACGTCCATAATCTATAGGCTCACACGTTATACATTTTATTCCAGGTCCTACGGAAGCGTTTAAAACTGACGACGAATATACATCACTCCCGGACATTTCTCACTGATGATGTCATAGGTATTCAGTGTTTGACAACGCTTCTACCAGTAACACTTTCTAATATATTTCGTTCCCGCCCAGAGAAATCAAAAGACAGAGTCGAGGAGATCGCAAGAGTATATTTGGCGATGACCAATATATCGGAATTCTCTGATCTAGTCTGGCTAGCGATTGCGGTTGATGTTGAGCACGGCGTTACCACACGTGATCTGGTGCGGATGCCTGACCGAGCGCCTTCAGCTAGATGAGTCCACTAAAACATATGGTCAGCATCCAATGTCGGAAACTTACAGAGCTATTTATTTTGGGGATTTATTTACCGCTACATTACTAAAATCAGCAAAGTAGAATAAATTTTGGGGGCATCTATGTCTCGGAACTCATTAGGTTTCATTTCAGCTCTTAATATTCGTCACTGATCTTTCAATGAACATCAGTTCATCACTTTTTTTATCTAGACAGACGACATTATATCATGAGGACCAATCCCATCTTTGTTCAACTACATTCTAGCTTTACAATCCCTCGTGTTGCAACCAAAAGATCTCCTGCCCAGTGATAACATAGTTAATGACACTAGAAACCTTACTTTCTACAGAACAAACGTATTCATTTATACTCTAGAGTCATTGATTCCCAATCAACTAGTATGTTCATTAGGATAAGTACAGCCAAGTTTCTAGGCCATCCATATTGAAAGAGATCAGGAAACAAGAACCAAATCTTAATACCAAGAGGTGGGAGCAAAGAAATCAACCTGTTTGAACAAGTTCGTCTCGATGACGTCATATATTGATTCTTGTAAGTTGAAGATACTTTTATTCTGGGGTTTACAACTCACAAGGTCACCCCGGGGGTCTGGTTTTATATTGTTACTCATATTTGTAAATAAAATCTCTAGTCCCCATACTTGTGCAAACTACTAGGAATTCATGGTAAAACATTACTGACTTGTAATCACCACATTTGCCCGAACAGGGAACACTATGTGTTACATGTCTACCAAATGTTAGTGTCTTAAGACACTGTAACTGTATTATTCGGTAAGAATTCTGGTAAGATTTCTTACCACTCAACAAACCGAATAATACAGTAGCCATTAATGGCTACGAACTATATTAGGCCTAAAAGACCTTAAAGTGAATAGGGAATATATCCGAAAAATTTTTCGTAAAAGGTTCATTTGAGTTGTGTCGTAGTGTTGAAATCTTATACAACCGGGTTTATTTGGTTACTAATGAGGAGCTTTTATTCTAGCTGCAAATGGCAAGTAACATTTGCCACAAATGATCACTCCAAATATTTTCCACACAGTAGTGTCGTTAACATTGTAATTGGGATATTTGACCGTTTCTGATTTCTTTTTGGAATCAATATTTTACTTCATTTTTGTTTTGTTCAATCCCGGTGGATTTGGTGTTAATTCGCTAGAAATGCAATATACATCAAAGCATCGAATGAAATCAGTCCAATAAAATAAGTCGGTTCATTAACTTTGGAATTTGGCTGTCAGCCAGTCTAGATTACCAAGTTTTAATCTACACAATGGTCGTATTGTACAGATATGGAGGTTGAATAACATCGCCTTAAGTTTCGTTTTCAAGACTTTTAAGGTGTAACAAATTGAATCATGAAAATTTGTGCCGGTGTTCTAGGTTTACACGGTGACCATTATTGTCCTTACCCATTTGTGTTTGATTTCAATTGTTTTTAGATGACTTCATTGTATGCTAAAAAGATGACAATGCTTGCTGGACGAATATTCAGAGATGTTGGCAAACAAGTTGATAGCAAATCAATGAAAGTTGTTCGAATAATGAGTGAATTACCTCGCCCAATGATCTTAAAAGATTATTATCCTCCATTAGAAGAATATAGTAATATTTTACAAAAACTACGCTATTTGGGTTTGTTTAGAAATGAACATGCAGATTTTCGTGAAGAAATGGCACGTCTACGTCAATTGCGTGGCAAAGGGAAACGGAAAAAGGGTGAAAGTAAACGAGGACTATCACAATAGTGACATTATTTACTTTGTTATTTGTTTTCCTAAAAAATATTTTGTATATATTTACTAGCAGTTTGTAAACAGTATCGAATCTTTAAAGTAATACTATTATGTGTTGAAATAAGGTTTGTTTTTTACTAATTCGAATTCCATGTGGTGCTTATTAGTTATCAACTCCTTACTCAAGCAAATGTTACTGAAAGAAGTAGGTCATATCTATAGATAACACTGACCATGTTTTGCATTATTGTTCTAAATTATAGTTTAGTCCGAATTTTAGACATCTCTTATCTGTAATAGTTGTGAAAAATAAATTGTCGTTAATGCAGTTGTCAAGTTAGTCGATTTAACCTACTCAATGTTGATTAGGGTCAAGAAATGTCCTGGTTTTTCTGAATATATAGATATTTTAGGTTACGAAACTGACATTCAAGTTAATAAACTCAGCTTCATCATTCAACTCAGCATAGACAAACACAAAGGTAACTAGTCCAGCATTGACTGTACGGGTAAAACTTGTTTCGACCAATAAACAAAACGGTTATTTCACAACTTGTCAGTGAAATGTATGAAATAAACATTACGCGATAAAAAAGTCTCATTCACGACTAGTCAAGTTATAATGCACAAATAAGAACAAATTTTTAGAATAACATTTAAGTGACAATGCCAAAAAATAATCTCTGTAGGTGATTCGGCTTTTTAAAAATCAATCCAATTCATTAATCACAAGTAAGACAACTATCAAAATACTATTCCTAATCGGGTGACATCCTCTTTAGTCGTGTTCAAGAGATTCAAGATGACTCCTTTTATCACAAATATAACTGCATTTGTGGCATTTTAAATCAAATAAATTTCGACTGTGAATTGTATGAATAGACGTATTGCTCAAAATGTAATGGCCAAATCGATGTACGGATAGTTTATAAACAATATGGTGCATAGCCTTCTGCTGATCAGCGCATCTTTGGTATAAGGTTGAGGAGAGTCCCTTACCTCCCGTAATGCCTTCACGTGGCCACGCGCGTAAAACCGCTGCCAAGAAATCGCTACCTTGCATTCTCCTGGCAGGTGTGTTGTTCACGAAATTCAGAGTACGAAACGAATGCTCACTGCTTTGACCTGTTTGATGGATATGAATGATCCGTGTAGGTTAGTTGGAAAACCCTGATTTTAAAACAATGGAGTACATGAGCTCCAGGATCCTATGGAAACAAATGGCGTATGAACCTATTGTCGGTGACCGGCTACCATGGGAATGTGTCTCCTAACGTTGCTCCGCTGTCTTTTGCATTAGACCTCTTGGTCAAAAACTTGGGGAATGACATTCTAAGAAAACCACCCACTACAGTCTGGGCGCCCGGGCAGTATCCCACAAATCATTCAGAGTCACAGTTAGAGATGTCAATAAGCTATCCTGATTGCAATTAACTTACCATAATACTGAAATTACTTACACTAAAATGTTTGCTCTATATTTACACAAACATGGAATTTATTATCTCAGTTTTCAGTCAGTGTAAGATACGTTTTTCCTACAAGATAAAATATTATCGTAAAGTATTCTTCCAATCACACTTCTAATTGAAAAGAAAACTATGTATGGGTTAGAAGGACTTATTTCGGTAGGTAAAATATGATACAGTGTTTTGACACTGTTGAACAATGTCCTACTTACTTTTAACCACGTATATATATATATATATATATATATATATATATATATATATATATATATATATATATATATATATATATATATATATATATATATACTGGATAAGATATGACAGTGTTTTTTGCATTTTGCTTTGCTTACATTTATTCTTGTATATTTGCCAGCCAATACTGTTGGAACCGTAAGTCCTGTGACACATTACGGAAAGGTACTTCTCGAAGTGGCTGGAAAGTAAATTGAGTTATAGGTGTTCTTGGGGACTTTGGAGCATAAATACAAGGAATAACTGCTTAACGCCATTCATATAGGAATATTTTATGAGTAATTTTGGATGTCTTAAATACGTACTTATAATGTCTGACTGAATTCGACCCAGCTCCGCCTGGTGCTTTTCTGGGGCTACTACCGTTCCCAAACGCGGATAAAGGAGGAGGGTTGGGAATGTGGTTAGCGACCCCATTCTGTAGAAAACCAACTCGATAAAAAACGCTAACCATAAAAGAATTGTTCAAACCATTTAAACTCTGCCCTGAGAGTCAGAAAGTCTTCATTTAGAAGAGTTATGACGCCTCATGGTGAAAGCCGAATTCCTTCGGAAGTCACGAGGCTGATGCCCCTTCCGACAACCAGAGTAACCACTAATTTAGCTACATGGAATACACGTACAATGTAGGAGATCGGGAGATTTTTCCAAATTGCTGCAGAAATGAGATATCGATGAAAATCCATATTACAAGATGAGATGTGCTACTTTTAGGGTCGACCTTTTATAGTCCTCTTTTACTATTTTATAGTGGTAATATCCCTCTAGGTGCCTATTTTATAAAGGAAACACCTCACTGTCGTCACATTTCAGTACAGTCAACAGTACATCTTTGACCTAGGACACTAAATCGCTCATATTAGTTCTATGGTTCACCAACCAACATGCCTAGAATAATAAAACCTAAAAGAGTAAGTATTCCAGGCAATTTAGCTCCATTGGGATATTAAATAATCAACCCTGACTATCATGTTTAATTATCGGCGACAGCGACAAAATTATTATTATTATTTGAACACATAAATATTGGTACAAGAGAGCGCCAATATATATGCGCCACACAAAACAATGGGAATTCGAAGAGAAGTAAAAAGAAAAAAAAACTAAGGAACGCAAAAGAAAAAGAGAGTAATGACGAAGAGGTACAATCAGAAGAAATCTTTCAGGTAAGGGAGACACAACCACTTTTTATGAAGGAAGTAAAAGAAGGTTACAGCAGGATCGCCACTGGCTTCTATTCTGAGCCATATCTGATAACGTCTCTAGCCACTGTGTAGCACCATCTCTCGGACCCCAACCAGGGAGTCGTGAAGGACCAACACAAGCCAGTCCTTTGCAGCTTTCTTTCATGCCACGACACCATGTCATGCACTGACCACCTCTCCGCTTCTTCCAACCAGTCCCAGAGTCGGCAAATAATGCACGACGTGGAATTCTCTGGGACGACATTCGGAGAACATGTCCAAGCCACCGAAGTCGGTGTTTCAAGATGGTGACACCAATTGCATTATCATCTCTGTGCCCAAACACACGATGCCCAACCTCTGCATTACTGACATGGTGTTGCCATTGAATGTCAGCAATCCTTCGGAGAGAGCGATGATCGAACACAGAGAGTCGTCTAACGTCCTCAACTCGGAGAGACCAGGTTTCACAAGCATAGAGCAAAACTGCTCTCACCGACGCGTTGTAGATCCGGCCTTTTACAGCCAGACTAACATCACGAAGGCGCCAAAGGTGGCCCAGATTGGCATAAGCCGCTCTGGCTTTCACTATTCGTGCATTGATCTCATCACTCACACCCCCACCAGCACTTATGCAGCTACCCAGATACACGAACTTCTCAACTACGTCTATCTGCTCACCGTCCAGGGTGAGTACAGGATTAGAATCCTGCCAGTCTTGTAGAAGTACTTTGCACTTCGAAGGTGCAAAGCACATACCATACCTACGGACACTGATTGCCAACTGATTAAGTGCAGATTGCATGCCTTGGGCATTATCGCACAGTAAGACAATATCGTCCGCATACTCAAGGTCGAGAAGTCTTTCTCCAGGCAACAGATCCACACCACCATTACTTACATTCATCAGAGCTGTTTCCAGAATGTCATCGATGGCAAAGTTGAAGAGGAATGGTGAGATTGGGCAACCCTGCCTAACCCCACTGCTCGAATGGAACAATGGAGAGAGGTGGTTGTATGCCCTCACTCTGCCTGAGGTGTTTTTATACAGGGCTTTTAGGATGTTAATAAACTTCTCAGGCACACCCTTCTTCAATAGACAATCCCAGAGAACAGTCCTATCCAACGAATCGAAGGCAGCCCTGATGTCAAGAAACACTACGATTGTTGGCCTTTGAAAAGTATGGCGGTGTTCTAACATTTGGCGGAGGGTGAAGATATGATCAATACATCCTCGACCAGAACGAAACCCAGCCTGCTCCTCGCGAGTCAATCTTTCTCGGGTTTTGAACAACCTACGAAGAATGACGGAAGCCAATAGCTTGGACGCAATCGGAAGTAAACTTATCCCCCGATAGTTGTTACAAGAACGACGTGAACCCTTTTTAAAGATAGGGACAACTATCGACTCATTCCATGACGTTGGTACACTCTCTAGTTTCCAAACCTTTGTAAACAACGTCGTCAATTCCTTAGTCAAAAAGTCACCACCATCTTTAAAAAGAGCCGGAGGTAAGTCATCTGGGCCAGGTGATTTGTAACGCTTCAAGAGTTGGAGTTCCTTGCGGACTTCCTCCTCATTTGGTGGATCAGTCGTCACCGGCCATGGAGGGCAGGACAGTCTGACCGATGTTGCCGGAGCAGCAGGCCAGTTGAACTGCCCTTCGAAAAATTCTGCCCATCGTCCAAGACGTCGATGGATGTTAGTGATTGGCATCCCATCATCCTCGCAGATTGTTTCACTCACACCAGACTTCTTGCTGCCAGTGGCTCGGATGAGTTGGAAGAGCTTCCGGTAGTTACCAGATGCAGCTGCTGCTTCCAGCTCATTAGCACGCATCGACCACCAGGCTTCTCGGTCCTTACGCAAGCTTTGCCCGATTTCCTTACGTAAAATCCTTCGTTTATGGTCAAACTCACGGTTACCCGGAGTAGACCGACGGGTTTCAATGAGTTGTAAGGAACCAGAAGAAACCCAGTGCTTAAAAGCGGGACGTTTCGCAAACCCACAACTGACTGTTCCCGCCATTTTCATGGCGTCATGCAATTGCAACCAATGCTCATCTATACTTTTCGGTGGAGTGGTAGCTAGCCTAGAGGCTAGCTCGGTTCGATACTTACTTGCAACAGAAGTTGCAACCAGCTTGCTAACATCAATCCGTTGATGGCGTTCACTTCGTTGTCCACTGAAAAGTAAGGCAAGATTGGCGCAGACC